GCGCGCTCGTGTCAGGGCTCTCGTTATCAGACCAAATTGGTCTGATTTTCTGATTTTCAGACCTTCATTTCTTATTTCATCTGATTTGTAAGACAATGCTTTTTATTTCGTCTGATCCATAAGACGAAGAGTTATATATCGTCTGATTTTTTAGAGCACGCGTTATACTTCATCTGAAATTTCAGATAGCGAGGATCTTTTCGTCTGATACCGACAAACCTGGCCTCTGACTATAGGTCGTCAGATTCGGCGGACCGGGGGCTGTAACTGCACATGCGTGCCTCGCTAGCAGAATTTCCAGAATTCCGCTAGTCCAGAACCCCAGCCCAGCCCAGCCCCGTCTACCAGCCCAGCCCGAAGGCCCCGTCGCCTCTCCAGCCCAGCCCGAAGTCCCCTCCCTGTTACCAGCCGAGCCAACAGCTCTCAACTCTATTGAGAATGCCTGCTTTCTTTCTTATCAATTGGCATCGTTCTCATTACAAATGGCGTATTACAACATTTGTATCATCATTCGACACAAGCTAGTGCGGACTAATAACGCTAGCTAGGATATACCCTATCCAAGTGGCATTAGCAAGGCGGTTTACTCTGGGGTGGGTGGTGGGAATGTTGAGTGAGCCGTTTGAAAATTGAGAAACGTGGGTGGAGGGAAATGAGCTCCAACCCACGGTTTTTGTAGTTGGAGAAGGGCGTTTAGCGCGCTTCGACGATGCCAATTGTGCAGTACAAGCAGCTTCGCTTTCACAATACACAATTTTAAAAAACACTACATGTGTGTTTAAAAATTATAATATTGAGAAAGCTTGCTTTCTTTCTTATCAATTGGCATCGTTCTCATTACAAATGGGTTCCCTGAGACATGGGCAGCGGGGGCCTTCGGTTGCGTACGAGTGCCTCTGTGTGTTGTGCCGATGACACCGCATGCGTCGAATCTTGGAGGGTACGGGAGGCTTCGATAAGAGGCTCGACGTATGGCGTAACATACATTTCCTTTGCTGTGTCGCTTCGCCATCTGCCCAGCCGTTTGAAGACTCTATCTGGCACTCCCGTGTTGGCTGCTACTGTGGCTGCACCTTTTCGGAAAGAATGGGTGCCTAGCTGCAGCTCTCCAAGGCCAACCTTTGCGAAGGCTTCCTTGCACCAGTTCCGGATCGTAGTGTAAGAAGGTGGCCTAGCCTGGCCCTCGCTGGTTGAACCGTGACCGAAGACACGAATCAATGGTCCCTCTGACCGTGGACCATAGCCAGCGAGTCGGATGAAGCGTCGGGTGCAGCGCACTGGGCAGCAGGGGTCCGCCGTTGCTGCAATGGGTATCCAAGTGCCGTGACCAGCTTGATCGGTCTTGGAATGTGGTATGAGAATCCACATGACCTCGTCGTCGAATTGGATGTCTTGCCATTTTATGGCTACTAGGTCAGAGTATCGCAGAAATCCGGAGTACATGAGGATGGGGATCAACCCTTTCTGAAATTGCGCAGGATCGTCGGACTGCAAGTAACTCGCGGCCATGTCCCGGACTTGTTGGATCGAGACGGGTTCCTTCAGACGAGTAGGGCGAGGGCAGTGTCGTTTTGCACAGTCACGGACTTGGGTGGTGAACGGTCCGGTTGTCGGGCATTTGCTCCCAGTCATGCGATGAGCGAAGCTGACCGCCGAGCACGTTAGCTGCACTACGGACAGGGTGGCTTTGCGTCGGATTGCGTGTACCAGGTACAGCGCGAGGGTCATGTCGGATGCCGGAAGGAATGGAAGGTTCACTTTTGTGCAGAAGGCTCGAAACTTGGCCCAGTATGGTTCATATGTCCGGATCGTAGAATCGGCGCGGGACTGCGCGAGCATGTTGATCAGTTGGTCGTGTAACTTTGGGAGCAAATCTGAACACAAGGTGTAGATATTTTGAATTAGTCAAATGCCACTCGCAGTGCAGTGATTGGGCTGTGCGGTAGTCCCATGCCCGAAAAAGCAGTTGAATGGGACCCTACGTCTAGGCATTGGCTTCCGTGTGTCAGGGGGATGTGCGCGTGGATGTATGGTGCCCAAGTGCGTGGGGAGGGTTGCAAGAGTGGCCACCAGCTTGCACCTGGCCAGTGCGGAACTATCAGTGTGAGTGATGCATGGGTGCGTTGTGCGTGATGGAGGACGGCTGGGATCAGTTGAGGTGGGGGGAAGGCGAAGTTGTTTTCAGGTGTCCACGCGATCGAGAATGCATCAACTGCAATGGCTGCCGGGTGGGGAATCTTCGAACAGAATCGCGGCAGTTGGGTGTTGCGGAAGTTTGCGAAGAGGTCGATGGAGTGAGGACCCCAACGACGTTCCAAGATCCGGAACCACGGCGTTTTCAGCGCGTAATCGTCGTGGTCGACCATTTTTGAAAGCTCGTCGGCGTGTGTGTTGAGCTCGCGCGGAATCCATTCAATGATCAAGCGCGTGCCAAGCGCCATGCATGTTCGGATGATGCTCTTGCATGCCGTTGTGAGGTCGGGGCTGTGAGAGCCGCCTTTGCGAAGGATGAAGAATACGCCCTGGTTGTCCACCCGCACGAGAACGTGTTTTTGCTTGATCTTGTTCGCGTACGTTTGTAGCGCCCAAAGGACGCCTTCGATCTCCCGTCGTGTGCTAGACGTTCCTCGTAGCGGCTCTGACATGGTCGCGCTAGCTTCTTCGAGGCCACCCGGAAATGTGGTCAGAGTGGCGCCCCAACCATGAGAGCTGGCATCCACATGGATTACCGCGTCGTAGCTGTTCTTGACGTGAAAAGGTGCGCCGTTGAAACGGTCGAACTCCTCGAGCCAAAATTGGAGCTCTTCTGCTGCAGATGGGGGGATAACGACGCTGCTTTTCCATGACGGTGCGTCGTTGATCACTTGTAACATAGCATGGCTGAATGCGCGAGCGGTCGCGCCAAGTGCGACACCCATCGATGCGAGCATGCCAGTGATTCTGGCCACGTGGCGGACCGGGACTGGTCGGCATGCCTTGCTTGCGCTCAGGAGGTTCCGGATGGTTGCATGTAGTGAGGCTCGTCGGTCTGGACCGATGGAGAATCGGCCGGTATCGGTCTCAAGTTCTACGCCCAGGAATCTGAGACGCTGCGATGGTGACAGTTGTGATTTCTTCGCGTTTATCACAAGGCCTGCCTCTTTAAGATCCAATATCACCCGCTGGCAAGTTGCTTGCGCGTCGTCTTTCGACTGGCAGAGAAATAAGATGTCGTCCACGTAAGGGACGACTCGGATGCCTTGTTCTCGCCAACGCCGAGCTAGTTGCTTAATGAGCTGCGTGAAAACGAATGGAGCTGTCGCGAGGCCGAATGGTAGTGAACGGAATGCGTATGTGCGCTTGTCAAATTCAAAGCCAAGGAACTTCCAGCACGATGGGTGGATGTCGATGTGGTGGTAACCAGATTTGAGGTCAATGGAGAACATCCAGTCCCCAACGCGCGCCAGGTCGGCGACGCGGCTGAGCCCCTCGTACTTGAACTTGGGGATGATCAAGTTGGCATTGACTTTCCTCAGATCAAGAATGAGCCTGCATTTGTCTTTTTGCTCGACCACGTTGAGTGGACTTATGCACGTAAGCTCCGTTGCGGCCATCGGAATTGCCGCTCCCGTCTCTATGAGTTCTTGGATGGCGGTACGTGTGAACGTGGCATGCGTGTTTGCCCCGACATGATTCCGATCGTGGAAATTGTCGAAACAAGTTAGGCAGAAGTTAGGAACAGAAAAAGGGGGTTTGAACTAGCAGGCAGTTGAGTACAAATAGCAAACCCTAGATTGGGCTGTACTCGCTATAGAGTACCCCACTGCAGGCTAGACAATATAACATTCTGACACACCCCCATAGCCAAAGTGGGGTGTAATCAGCACAACAAGCAGTCACAATAGCAATAGTTCATAAATTATGAGCAAAGGTAGAGGCAGTCACTGAGGGCAAGTGAGGAGGAGGAGGGCTGGCGAGAGGAGAGTAGATGGGAGGCGACGACTGAAGCTGCAGACACACGGGCAACAGACGGCTCTGGTGCAACGCTAGTGGCTACCGGGAGCAAGTGCCCCGGAATACAGGAGTAACTGGCTCTGCGTCTGATCAGCAGCGACAGGAGCAACGGACCCACGGGCGACAGGTGCAACCGGCTCTCTGAGCTACCGGTGGCTATCAGAACCCCGGAATACAGGCGCTGCGGACGACACGACGGCAACCTCCACTCAATCTCCCCCAACAGTCCCACACCCCTCGACACACACCCCCTGCTGCGCCCCTAGCTCCACTCCCCCTTCACCCCCCTAGCACCACTCCTTCGGCTCCCCACACAACCACCCCCCTGAGCGGCAGCTGCAGCAGCGGGAGACGAAGGAGGAGGAGGAGGAGGGGACGGGGCACACAACCGGCACCCCCACAACCGCCACCCCCACACTCCCCACCCCCAAACCCTAAAACGGGCGGAACGGGGGAAGGAGCGCGGGGGACGGCGAGGGGGACGGCGCGCGGCCCCCAGGGCGCCACCACGGGGCAGCGAGGGGCCGCGCGCGGCTCCCCAGGGCGCCGCGAAGGGGCAGCGGGGGGTCGCGCGCGGCTCCCCAGGACGGCGCGACGGGGAATCGGGAGCCGCGCGCGGCTCCAGCTGGTCGACGCGACTGTCGACGGGGCAGCGGGGGGTCGCGCGCGGCTCCCTTGGGCGGTGCGACGGGGTGGCGGGGCGACGCGACCACCGACGGGGCAGCGGGGGCAGCGCGCGGGTCCCCTAGGGCGACGCGACGGACAGGGCGGGGGCGCGCGCGGGTCCCCCACGATAGGAAACCGCCGTGCGCCTCGGGGCGCACGGCGGGCAGAAAACCGCCGCGCGCCCCGAGCGCACGGCAGGAAGAAGACGACGCACGCCCGAGGCGCGCGAGAAGCATAACAGCAGCGGAAGCAGTTAGGTGGTGGGCCCACCCACAGGATCGACCCAAGGGGGTCGACCTGCTCTGATACCATGTCATGAACACTAGGAGTGGGGCCTTGGCTTAGTAGCCTAGGACTAGGTTTTAGGGTATACGAAGGAGAACTGAGAATGGAATGATTGAACTAGCAAGCAGTTGGATACATATAGCAAACCCTAACTGGGTTGTACTCGCTGTTGAGCACCCCACTGCAGGCTAGACAACTAACATAATCTGACACACCCCCATAGCCAAAGTGGGGTGTAATCAGCACAATCAACAGTCACAGCAAAAGTTCACAATTATCAGTAATGCTAGAGGCTATCACAGAGGGCAAGTGAGGAGGAGGAGGAACTGTGAAGGGAGAGAAGATTGGAGACGACGACTGAAGCTGCAGACACACAGGCGCAGCAGGCTCTCTGAGCTACCAGGACAGTGCGCCCCGGACTACAGGTGCTGCAGCCTCCTCCAACTGTCCCACACCCCCCTACACACATCCCCTGTTTCACCTCTAGCTCCACTCCCACATCACCCCCCTAGCGCCACTCCCTTCGGCTCCCACACCTCCACCCCCCTCAGCGGCAGCTGCAGCAGTGGGAGACGAAGGAGGAGGAAGGGACGACGCACACGGAGCACCCCCATACCTGTCACCCCCACACCCTCCTGTCCAGGGGACCCAGGGGTGGGGGGGGGGGGGGGGGGGGGAGGGCCGGGGCGGGAGAGCGCACGAGGGCGCAGGCAACCGCGCGTGCAGAGCAACAGCGCGGAGCAGGTAGGGTAGAGCGCACGAGGGCGCGGGCAACCGCGCGTGCAGAGCAACAGCGCGGAGCAGGTAGGGTAGAGCGCACGAGGGCGCGGGCAACCGCGCGTGCAGAGCAACAGCGCGGAGCAGGTAGGGTAGGGCGCACGAGGGCGCGGGCAACCGCGCGTGCAGAGCAACAGCGCGGAGCAGGTAGGGTAGGGCGCACGAGGGCGCGGGCAACCGCGCGTGCAGAGCAACAGCGCGGAGCAGGTAGGGTAGGGCGCACGAGGGCGCAGGCAACCGCGCGTGCAGAGCAACAGCGCGGAGCAGGTAGGGTAGGGCGCACGAGGGCGCGGGCAACCGCGCGTGCAGAGCAACAGCGCGGAGCAGGTAGGGTAGAGCGCACGAGGGCGCGGGCAACCGCGCGTGCAGAGCAACAGCGCGGAGCAGGTAGGGTAGAGCGCACGAGGGCGCGGGCAACCGCGCGTGCAGAGCAACAGCGCGGAGCAGGTAGGGTAGAGCGCACGAGGGCGCGGGCAACCGCGCGTGCAGAGCAACAGCGCGGAGCAGGTAGGGTAGAGCGCACGAGGGCGCGGGCAACCGCGCGTGCAGAGCAACAGCGCGGAGCAGGTAGGGTAGAGCGCACGAGGGCGCGGGCAACCGCGCGTGCAGAGCAACAGCGCGGAGCAGGTAGGGTAGGGCGCACAAGGGCGCGGGTGAGACTGAGCGCGACTGCACAGGGTCCAGGAGCGGCGTCGCGGGCAGCTGCTGCAGAGGTCCAGAGGCGGCTGCTCCAGGGGCCAGGGGCGGCTGCTGCAGTGGCGGGTGGCTCCAGGGGCGGCTGCTGCAGTGGCGGGCTGCTCCAGGGGCGGCTGCTCCAGGGGCGGCTGCTGCTGTGGCGGGCGACTCCAGGGGCGGCTGCTGCAGTGGCGGGCGGCTCCAGGGGCGGCTGCTGCAGTGGCGGGCGACTCCAGGGGCGGCTGCTGCAGTGGCGGGCGGCTCCAGGGGCGGCTGCTGCAGGGGCGGCTGCTCCAGGGGCGGCTGCTGCTGTGGCGGGCGACTCCAGGGGCGGCTGCTGCAGTGGCGGGCGACTCCAGGGGCGGCTGCTGCAGTGGCGGGCGGCTCGAGGCGCGGGCTGGCCTGGCGCAGTCCGTACGGGCCGCGCGCGGGCCTGGCGCAGCCCGTACGGGCCGCGCGCGGGCCCGACGTAGGTCGCAGGGGACACGACAGGCGACGGGGGGCGACGCGCGGGTCCCCGTCGCCCGTCGCAGCGCCTCCCGGGGGCGACGCGCGGAGTGACGGGGCAGAAAGCCGCCGCGCGCCTCGGGGCGCACGGCGGGCAGAAAACCGCCGCACGCCTCGGGGCGCACGGCGGGCAGAAAACCGCCGCGCGCCTCGGGGCGCACGGCGGGCTGAAAACCCTAATTTCGACGCCGCGCACCACAGGGCGCGCGGCGGACAGGGAGCAACAGTAGCAGCGGAAGCAGTGAAGTGGGCCCACAGGCCAGCAACGTTAAGCTCTGATAGCATGTCGAAACAAGTTAGGCAGAAGTTAGGAACAGAAAAAGGGGGTTTGAACTAGCAGGCAGTTGAGTACAAATAGCAAACCCTAGATTGGGCTGTACTCGCTATAGAGTACCCCACTGCAGGCTAGACAATATAACATTCTGACAGAAATGTTGCGGTGGGCCGTGGCTCCATGGCAACCAGTAACCCTTGGCGATGACGGAGAGGACAAGGCTGCTGGGGCACCATGAGCTCCACCACGCAAATGTCGCGCGGAGACGACCGCGCATGTGTGTAATAGTTCTGTCTGTAACGGCAAATTCGTACGGATCGTCGTAGCATGCCGCCTCGCACCGTCGTGCTCCTGTACATGTGAGGCCAAGTGGTATAAGGGTTGAGTATTCCATGTTAAAGCATGCGTGTGCATGTACATGTACGGGCAACCATTGATCGAAGGTGTGACGAGAATTAACCATTGAATGAAATGTCAACGAATGTGTCGGGAGTGTTAACGCATGTCAACGCATGTCTCTTCTTCTCCTCGTTTCCTCTTTTTTTTTTTTTTTTTTTTTTTTTTATTTGTCCCATCGTCCACTTGGTAGGACGGTTGTGCCTGCCCTTAGTGCGTGGGGGCTGATGCCTAGGGCCATGGACACCGTTGTCCATTGTGCTTTCTCTCATCTCTCTCTCTCTCTCTCTCTCTCTCTCTCTCTCTCTCTCTCTCTCTCTCTCTCTCTCTCTCTCTCTCTCTCTCTCTCTCTCTCTCTCCTCCTCCCCTCCTCTTGATTTTCATAGTCTCTTTGCCAAAACCATAGGCCTTTAGGAAGGTAGTTTTTATTAAATCAACCAACACACATAGCAATGCTTTCCTAGCATGCATCATGCCACCAAGTGGCCAAACATATGGGACCGAGGGGTTGTTGTTCCCCTTCCCTCTCCTAGGCCCAAAGCCTATCCCACCCTTTACTAGGGCTGGCCTCTTGCCATCGCAAACCCCTAGGGTTGCCCACGGTCTTCGCACTCAAGAGTGCACCGTGCCTAGCGCCCAAGCGCCTAGTCCCATGGCCCGCTCCTACACCACCGGAGCGGGTCCCTGGCCGCCATGCCCGTTCCGAGGGCAGGCACTTGCCACGTGGCCCGGCTGGCCGCAGCGGAAGCATGAGCCTCGGAACCCACGGCAATTGGCCGTGGGCGGGGGGCCTCGCTTGGGTAAGAACGGCATCGGCCCGTTGTTTCCGCCGCGGTTGACACGAGCGTATCCGCTTGCCGCACGGTCCATCGCCGCCATGTCCGCGACTGCCTGCTTGAAGGGTCGAGAAGTCAGCAGGCTCTTCTGCTGGTACAGCTTGAAGCGCTTCGCCGTGCGGAAGTCGGAGGCGTCCTCCACTTGAAGCACCTCGAAACGCCCCGCGATGAGGTTGAGAGCGTGTGAGATGAGTTCGAGTCCGCCCGCCGGATCGCCGCGCTGCGCCTTGTATTCGGCGTGCAGCAGGTACGCCCGCAGGTCCTCCAGCAGCTCCGCTTGCTCTCGCACGGAGTCGTTGACGAAGGTTGCCGCCGAGAAGGTAAGGTTAGAAGAAGGGAGGGGGGGGAGGTGTTCCGTGCCAATAAAATTAGCATTGTTGACGGGAGCCTCACCGGCTTCATCTTCAGAGTCGTCGGTGTCGTTGTCGACCGCTGGAGCAGGGGGAGCGGCGGTCGCTGCGTCGTTATCATGCCGGTTCGTCCGTGCTCCTCGCGTGCCTTTTTCCTTTTTTGCAGTTTCTTTTTTAGCCGACGCAGATGCGGCGGGTAGTGCAGTTTCCGCGGCTGTAACGCTGACGGGTTGCTGCTGTAGAAGGGACAGCAGCGCGTTGACCTGGTCCGGGGTCAACGCCTGCGTCAGCGCAGGGGCGGCGGTCGCGTCAGACGAGGAGACTGCAGTCCGCCTCCTCTGGCGCTGACGCGACGGTCCAGCAGCGGGTGCTGGCGTGTGCTCGGCGTCAGTCGCGTGTGCCGCGCCAGCCCCCGTCGCCACTTGCGCCACAGGTGCCACTGGCGCCACAGGCGCCACTGGCGCCACAGGGACCGAAGGGTGCTGCTGGGTTTCGGCGTTTTTGTTGACCTCGAGCCCGCCCAGCAGCACGTCCACTGCAGTCGGGGCGGACGGTCCGTCTTCTGCCCGACGCTTGTTACGGCGTTCGCCCGCAGAATCGCGGGCGTTACGGTCGGAGTCGGAAGCGGGGGTTGACGAGTTCCCGTTGTTAAGTGTCGGCGTAGGTGCCATCGTTGAGCGATTGAAGTTGAAAATGTCGCTGAGTAAAGTAGAGGGTGACTCGCCTCTAGGAAGCGATTTAATCCTAGCCAGCTTGGAGGGAAAAACTACTCGAGCGGAAATGTTGAGTGAGCCGTTTGAAAATTGAGAAACGTGGGTGGAGAAAAATGAGCTCCAACCCACGGTTTTTGTAGTTGGAGAAGGGCGTTTAGCGCGCTTCGACGATGCCAATTGTGCAGTACAAGCAGCTTCGCTTTCACAATACACAATTTTAAAAAACACTACATGTGTGTTTAAAAATTATAATAACAGCCCAGCCCAAAGACCCCATCACCTCTTCCAACTACCTTGCGTCTCATCCAGCCCGGCTCTTCTCTCCCAACTTCCGCACACCCAACCGAGCCACTCCCACAACTCTAAGTCAATTCCCTCGTAACCCAGCCCCTCCTAGTCCCTCACCTCTCTGCCTGGTAGTGTTTAGCTAACGCGCTGCTGCGTCATGAAGTTGCAAGTTGCCACATCAGATGTGGAAAAAAAATCCGTATGAAATTTCAGACATGCCAAGAACTTTCATCTGGAAAAACAGACCAGCGAAATTTTCCCGTCTAAGCGTCAGACGAAACGATTTTTTTTCTTAGGGTTTCCAGACGGGCCTAAAACCTAGCGAGAGCCCTGGCTCGTGTGTTTGCTTTCATGGCATTTTACTGTGTATGGACTGTTAGCAGAATATAAAAGATTCAATGAAAGAAACAGTGTATTGGAAAAAATACCCTGCTGAATTCAGTGTACCAGAAATTTTAGGCTGCTGTAAACAGTGTACGGAAAAAAATACCCTAACAGTCAGGGTACGGAGGGCCTGCCACCCTGATTTGAAAGAGTGACCCTAAACCTATTTTGGGCCCTGCTGTACAATTGCATTCGTTCATGTTGAAGCCAGAATATTATGCTCGGCCGCACCAGCCGCCGTACTAATCGACGAGCTGGTCGGTCGAACAAGTTCATGGTTTCAATATGATACGTACGTGCATAATATTTGGTTTCACATTCATGGATCTCATTCAAGAGTGGTTTTAATTCACTATTTGAGGCATTCGTTTGAACACAGTTGTAGAATGTTCAAACGGGTGCTCCAAAGAGTGCATGAAAAAAAAAATCACTCTTGAAACGATATCCCCAAAATGTGAAACCAAATATAAAGGGTTGCTACACAACCCAAAAAGTTCGTGTATCCCGCTGAATTTCAAATATAAACCTCTGGAACACTTTTAGCAAAGACTAGAATTCGTCACCCAGAGAAACCCCCATCGTCCACCAAAGCCTGCGGCCAGTGAACATCCCCCTTTGTTCAAAAGCCAGCCAGGGCACCTTCCTCCCGTCGCACATCCGCCAATGGCGTCGCTCGCGCGCAAGCTCGCCGTCCTCCCCGCAACTCGCCTCGCCGCCCGTCCCCGCTGCTCCTCGTCACACCTCCCCGTGCCGCGCTCCCGCCACCTTGCGCTCCCCGTTCCGCTTTCCGCCTCCCCGCGTGAACCCTTGGCCACGTCGCGCATTGCATCCCGGGCGTCCGCCGCAGCTCCCTCCGCCGTCCCTTGGTTCTCCGCCGCGGCGGGGCGGCGGAGCGTGGCGTCGAGCGCGTCGGGGGGCGGCGGGGGGCGGGGCGCGCGGGAGGCGGAGGAGGAGTGGGATCGCGAGGTGCTGGTGCAGCACCTGGTGGTGGGCGCGGACCAGCTGCCGCTGCTGCTCCACCTGCAACGCCGCATCATGGCGGGTGAGGGGCATCATGGCTGTGAGAGGGGCACGTGTGTTTGATTTTCCTGCGCCATGCATCAGTGCGGCGTGAAGTTGCTCAAGCGGCCATTCCAAGCGTGCATTCGCATTCACGCATCCCAACCACCCTCACTTGCACCCCCCACATCTCCCCCCCCCTCCCCCCCCCTTGGTGCGCAGATGAAGTGGATCTGAGTGACCTGGCGGCGGAGCACTCGCTGTGTGCGTCGAGGGAGAAGGGCGGCATGGTCGGGTGGATCTCCAAAGGCTCCACTGTCAGTCGCCCCCCCGCCCCTCCCACCCGCCCCCACCACCATGCTCGCCTCACCACCATGCTCGCCTCACCACCATGCCCGCCTCACCACCATGCCCGCCTCACCACCATGCTCGCCTCACCACCATGCTCGCCTCACCACCATGCTCGCCTCACCACCATGCTCGCCTCATCACCATGCTCGCCTCACCACCATGCTCGCCCCACCACCATGCTCGCCTCACCACCATGCTCGCCTCACCACCATGCTCGCCTCATCACCATGCTCGCCTCATCCCGCTCCTCTGCCTCGCAGCTTGCACGCGCTGGTGGCATCCATGCCCGCACCACCCATGTGGTACATCCACGCCCTCACCACGTACCGCACTCACCACGTACCGCACTCACCACGTACCGCCCCATACTCATTCACCACTGCTGCGCTCCATGGCATGGAATGGCACCTCATGGCATCATGTGGGCGTGGCGTGGCGTGGCGTGGCATGGCGTGGCGTGGCGTGGCATGGCATGGCATGGCGGGGCATCATGTGGCGTGGCGTGGAATGTCAACAGGAGCCGGAGTTTGAGGAGGCGGCATTCAAGGCGAAGCCGGGCGATGTGGTGCGGTGCAAGACAAAGCACGGCTGGCACCTGCTGCAGGTGCTGGGGGACAGGTAAGCAACCCGTTGCATGTTAGATGCTCCTCTGCTGCCCCTCTCTCACTGTGCTCGTTGCATGTCCCAAGCATCCCGACCTCTTCTCTACCTCCACTCTCCCACCCTCCTCCCCTGCTCCTCCCCTGCCCCACGCCCGGCGTGCACACCCTATCAGGCACGCAGCGGTGTTGGACCAGGTGACGGTGGAGGAGTTTGCTCGCCGCCTCAACGAGGAGTATGTGCTGCCGCCGCCGCAGGGGGGTGCAGCGGGCAGGGGGGGCGCTGACAGCGAGGGGCGGTCGCTGGAGGCGGAGCTGGCGCAGGCGCAGGCCGAGAGTGAGGGGAGGCGCGCCGTGCAGCTGGTGGACGTGCGCGAGCCCAGGGAAGTGTAAGTGCATGCTGCCCCTCTGCCCATGCCATGCCGCACCATGCCATGGCCTGCCATTCTGCCATATTGGTGTGCACATCTAGCATTGATGCTTCCCTTCCTGTTGCCTTCGTCACCCCTCCTGACTTGCTTTGCTTCATCCACTCCCACTTTTCTCACTCCCCGTTCCCATATGCACCACGCCTTCTCCCCCCTTCTCCCCCCTCTCTCCGCAATTCTGCCACCTCTGCTGCCCTGTTATGCTGTGCTGTGCCCTGTTGTACTGTGCTGTGCTGTGATGTGCTGTGCTGTGCGGGGCGGTGCTGTGGTGTGTGTTGTGGTGGTGGCGCACAGGGAGATGGCGGCCATCCCCGGGTTCACAGTGCTGCCGCTCAGCCAGTTCGGCCAGTGGGGTCCGTCCATTGCTGACACGCTGGACCCTCACACTGACACCTACCTCCTGGTATCGCACACAACCACACAGGACCGTGCTGCCTGCCACTCACCCATTCATCACATGACGTGCATCTCTCCTCACATGACATGCATCTCTCCTCACATGACATGCATCTCTCCTCACATGACATGCATCTCTCCTCACGTATCATGCATCTTTCCTCATCCTTGCAGTGCCATCCTATGTCTATCGCCCCCTATCATCCCTCCTGTCCCCCCTCTTATCTCACTGCCTGCTCATCTCATGTTCTCTCCTCCCTATTCATCTCATGCCCCCCCATGACATGCCATTCAAACCCAACCACGCGCGTCCCCCCCTGTGGCGGCAGTGCCATCACGGCATTCGCTCGCAGCAGATGGCCCACTGGCTGCAATCCCAGGTCGCCCCGCCCACCCTCCCTCGCTCCACCCTCGCTCCACCCTCGCTCCACCCTCGCTCCACCCTCGCTCCACCCTCGCTCCACCCTTGCTCCATTCTTTGCTCTTCCCTCCTCTCTCTCCCTACCTCGTTTTCCTTCCTCCAATCCACATCTCCCTTCACCCTCCCTCTCCCCCTCACCACTACATCCTCCGCCCTCCCTCTTTCTTTGTATTTGTCTGTTCCTCCACCTTCTGCTGCTCCTCCGTGTGTTGGTGCTCATGGCACAACAATTCTATTCGATTGAGCATTGCTGAGTTCCTTACAGCCATCTGCTCACCCCATCTGCTCACCCCTCTCCCAGTCCGTTTCGTAATTTCTTTCTTCTACACTCCTCTACCTGTCTCCTCTCTCTCCCTTGCCTCTCTCACTATACCCTCTTCTCTCATCGCAACATCTGGTGCATATTCCACAGCACCACCACTCATGGAGCTTTCCTGCATGCTGCTCCACCCACAGCAATGCGACTTACTACTCTGCCACTTCATCCTCCACTTCTCAATGTGCTCCCTCCCATTGTGCCTCCAGGGCTTTACACGTCTGTTCAACATTGCCGGGGGCATCGATGCATACTCGCTCAGGGTCGACACCTCCATCCCCCGTTATTAGCAGCTCTGCTTGCATAAGAAATTCACTATTTCTCCCAGTACGGCACGATGCAAAAAAGGGGCATTGGTTAGAGCGCAACAGGATGTCAGGATATGGCATGCAGCCGTAGAAAACATATGTCTTGCTTTGTTACTCTTTTTAACTGGTCTTGTCAGCACCTGTCTCAGCGGTTGGATTAATTAGTTGATCCGGTCTAAGTTGATGTTTCTCTTGTGATGCCCCTTGTCTAGCCTATGGGGGTGTGTCAAATATGTATACTATGCATGTTAGTTTGTTAGGCCACACTGAGGTGCTTTTTAGAGAGTGTACAACCCTTTTGGGGTTGCTTTTTTGTATCTCATCCTTGTTAGTCATCACAGATCCGCTCACATTCTGAGAAGATTGACTGTGCAAGAAACATCCATGTATGTTGCTCATGCTACCGTGCGCGCCCCCGGGAATACCGGTAAGACATATACCGTATGGCCCCGGATATAGGCGCCGTCCGATTAAAGGCGCCGGCGCTTCTATCTGGAGCATGGTGCTTATGGCCGTTCCTCGAGCGCACCCCATTTTGCGCCCATACTTATTATAAGTGCATACTTTAAACATGCATTTTTTTTTTTCTGTTAAACACTGACAATTAACATCTTCAGAATCTAGCACCAACAATTACAACCACCTACATTGAACTCAATGAACAGGCCTTTACAAAGGCCTTTCTACCAAGGAATCAACTGCCTACTACTCCTCCTCGTCAGATTCGGGCTCCTGGCAGTTGTTGCCAAAGAAGCCATCGGCGATGATGTCATCGTCGACATCCACCTCTACGGTCAGCTGGGTTCGCCTGTGCGCCATGGCGAGGCCGTACTCGCTGCTGTCAAGCGCGTTGCTAATGCCACAGGTGAGGAAGGTGCGCTTGATGAGGTCGGCGGGCACGTCCATCCACGCCCGTGAGATCCATCGCAAGACCACTGCTGGTGGGGGCTTCTTGAGATTCCCTGCACGGACAAAGACACCACAGAAAGCCGTTAGAGCTAGAAAGGGGAGGGGGGTGGTCAAACGTACCTGCTGCTGTCAGCTGCTCATGGCCCTCTTCTTGGTATTGCTGGCGGACTGAAGTCTTGAAGCTTTTGTTGATGGAGTCATCGAGGGGCTGAACCTCCGCCGTGCAGCCCGACGGGATGACCGCCGGCACGCAGTTGAGCTCACGGAACTTCTCCTTCACCCCCTCGGTAAGGTGACTACGGTAGGAATACAGCACCAGCATGGAGCTCTTCGCACACCTGCCGAACCGGGGCTTCAAGAAAGACTTGACGCACTCCTCAAGCCATCGGATGACGCCCTCCGCGTCCATCCACCCGTTCTCGTGGCACGCCATGACCACATCTGCACATGCGAAGACAGACAACCACATCATCAGTCAATTAAAGGGAAGAAACAACCACAGGGCACAACAACAACCACCACGACTTACCCGGCGAGAGAACGCTTTTCGGAACGATCTACCGCTTGAAAAATACCCACTGCTTGAGCTTCACCCCGTCCGCCATGCACGCTAGCATCACGGTAACTCTCTTCTTCTGGTACCCAGCGCTTCTGATTGGCACCGACCAAACGCCGGTCTGGTCCACGGTGGTGGTGGCGGGCATCTCCAACCACAGCGGCGTCTGGTCCTCGTTGATGATCCACGTGGCGTCGATGCCGCGCTCTCGACGCTTTTCACAGACAAAGGACCCGAAGTTCCTGCACTGCTCTGCGACATTTGTGAAAGTGCGAAAGATGGGTTGACACAGCAAGTACGGGTTAGTACAAAATACTGCAACGTACAAACGAGAAGTAAAGCACGAAATCTTACAAGTCGCGGTTTTTTGTACAACTCTCGTCTTCATGCGCACGCTGAGATTCCATCAGCGCCGCTAGCGCTCAGACCACCGTTGGCTCCCCTTCCACTTCTCGTCGGGGAACAGAAGCTTCATGAATTCCCGAGACCACTCCGGTAGGCGGTCGACGGATACAGCGCTTCCCTTGCGACGCCAGTCGAGGAGCCTCTCATAGACCTTAAGCTCCATCGGCTGGTACCACGACGCTCGCCCGCGACCGTGCATGCGCTTACGGGCGGAGTGCACCTCCTTGAGGAAGTCCGCGGCGCGCTTCCAGTTTGTGAGGCATTTGCGATGGATGCCACTCTCGCGAGCCAAAGAGCGCACCGACACCGCAACATCCAGCCGCGTGACCCACTTCAACTTCTCGGCGGCAGTGTAGGCCTGACGCTTGTGCCCGTTAATGTTGTGCCTGGGAGAGGGGGGACGGGCATCACGGTTCTTTGAAACAGGGTGTGGTCGCTTGTGATTAAGCGGAGGGAAAGAGGGTATCGGGAGTTTCTTGGGAAGCCCGTCGCGTGACCAATACTCGACGCCGTCGTCGTCGTGGCCGCCTGGAGCACCCTCGGGAAACACATCCTCAGTGGTGCCAGCCTCGGTGCATCCCTCCGTGCCACCCTCGCCACCGGTGTCGCGCTCAGCGTGCCACTCTGCCTTGTCGTCAGCCACCTCGTCGTCTGCGGCGACTGCAGATTTGTCCCAGTTGCAGTCATCGGGCTGTCCCCATAGTGGTGCCGGGGCCGGAGCTTGTACATACTCATCTTGGGGCTTGTCGCAGTCCGGTTCCAAGAGGTACTCGTCGAACGCCGAGGGGAGAAGGAGCGTGAGCACGGGCTGATTGCCTGTGACCACATGAGGCACGGAAGCTAGAGGAACGGGAGGAGGAGGAGGAGCAGGAGGCGAAGGAGGCGCAGGAGTAGCAGGCGGCGCAGGAGGCGCAGGAGGTTCTGGTGGCTCTGGTGGGATACGGGTATACCACCCGTCTGCGTCAACACTAAACGCGGGCCTAGCGGTGTGCTTCTTCATGAACAAGAATTGGGTGTAGATGAATTCCGACATGGCTTTCGCAGCCTGGCGGGGTCGAACCCGAAACATAATGAAAAGTTAGATGAATGAGGGAAGTAATGACAATCAAAGGGGACCCCTTTGGCTCAGCGCCTCGGGGTCCTCGTCAATGAACGAGGGTTCATAGCACCATCCATGCTGCGCTAGCAAGGCATTTTCTACCCCCTTCTAGAGGGTTTGGTCGAAATGCTCCTGCCTGGCAGCGCATGACGACCTGATTGGGCCGCACGGCAGGGCGTCAGCGCTGGCAGGTGCGTTGCTCCGGGAAAGGTTTTGTGCGGTGGGAATTCGAATCGTGGCAAGTTCCGTCGTGATTTCATCCAGTATCCTTTACGCACGTCACATCTTTGTATTTGCCTTAATGAGAGCTTGAATTTAGTACCTTTGGGTTTGAATTTCATTTTTGCCTTTATAAAAGCGTCGACGCTTATGGCTGTTACTCAATTACAAGCGGCCCCCATGAAAAAATTGATTTTTTTTTATATATATTTGTTTTTAATAAGCGCATAGGCGCTACTATCCAGGGCTAGACGGTATGTCTTATCTCGTACACGGGCAAAAATGCTTGGGTTGTCTTGTATTTGGGACGGTTTATGGTGCCTTATAAGTCTTATACATGGACAAAGAACCGCATAAAAGATACCCCCTCACTATACGAATACCCCTAACCCCTATACTGGCTTATCTCGTACACACAAATATGAATAATTTTTGTAACACAAAAATTTACAGATTGTGATGCGACTTGAAGAGGGGTTTGCTGTGAAGGAGACATGCTCCTTTACATTTCGGCAGGTCCAAGGACCTGCCACCTAGTCTCATTCGCTACTTTCACTCTCTCTTGCTTACCACCAGCACACATTAAACCCTTCCTATGCCCAGATCTGGACATAGGAGTATCCTGTTAGAAGACGTAATTAATTTCAGATTTACAAACATGGCTAGCGGACTCATTTCTGCTGCAAGCGGACGACCTCCCACGACGACAATGAATTTGCGGAGTAGCGGCCGTGCTGTTTCTCCCGTCACTGAAGGAGATCGTGATTCCTCCTCCAGACGTGAACGTTCCCGCTCTCCTCGTGGAGGAGGTTCCGCCGCTGTGACTGCTCTCGATTTGTTAAACCGTGCGCGACAAGCCTCTGCAAGGAGCCCCGGAGCTGCGGAAGGCGAGCGCGACAATTCGTCTCGTCGGGATTTTCCTCCCGGTTTTCACGGCGAGCGACGTGACGGGGGGTTACGCGGCGAATCGAACCAGCAGCCCGTCGAAAATGGTCCGCCCCGTTCTCTCGATCCTCCTGCCCCAGTACAAAACGCCACACACGCGGCACCCTCTGGTCCTGCGCGTGCTGGCGATCGTAATGATCACCATGCTGCGCGTCAGGACCGAAACGATGAGGGTCCTGCGCGTGGGCATGGCGATCGCGATCTCGGGCGCGATCGCAATCTTGACCAGCGCTCGGATCGCCAGAATCAGGACCAAACGCGAGAATCGCGGCGTCAAGATTCTGCACCCCGCCAGGCGAGAATCGCGGCGTCAAGATTCTGCACCTCGGATTTCCTATGACGACTGCACTGCACACTCCTCCGAGAGTCGTGTCACAATATGTGTCTTATAATGAGGCTACCCCGTTAATAAGAGACACCCGGTAATGAGGCTACCCCGTTAATAAGAGACATCCGGATAATAGACACCCCTTGTCTTCTATTCAACACTGTCTTATATCCGGGTGATAACGGTACCTGTCCCCACATGGCTTCTCTCAATGGATTTTCGGAGGCGAAGGCAGCGCGGCCACACACTGCTCCGTGACAGCTGTAGTGCCTCCCTCTCTTCCCCTCTACTCTGAACTGCATCACACTGCCGGCACTGATAGGCGCTGAGATCAGGGCCAAAAATTGGTTTAGGCCCACCCGGACAATTTAGGGTTACAGGCCCTCCTTACCCTGACCCGTAGGGTATTTTTCGTACCCTGCTGGCAGCAGGGTAAAACGTTTTGCACCGTGCTTGCAGCAGGGTAAAATTGTTTGTACTGTGTTGCATAGGACAGCATGAAATTGTAATTGACGCGCAAC